ATCTCTAGCATCATTTCTACCACCAAGGCCAAATTTTCCTCTTGGTTTCCAATATGTGCATTCCAATTGTCAGTAGACATCAATACATATTGATGTATGTATGATCAATTTCGGAGTAAAGAAGTAAAGGTAGAATTGTTTAGTTTTACCATCACTGGCTTTGGTGATTGGTGCATAAATTTGAATAATAGTGATATTAAGTAGTCTTCTTTGTAGGAGCACCACCATCTATATGCCTACAAGGAAGCATGGATTTGAACCACCACCTTGTGTTTAGGTGTTTAGCAGTAGAATGCTATCCTGTAGTGCCAAACCAGGACCCCAGAACCATATTTTTGCTGTTAAGTGCCACCAAGTTAGTTCCAACTCCTAGCGACCCTATATAGAGTTTCAAAGGAGTGGCTTACAGGTTTGAACCACAGTGCTATATTAATGTTGTAGTTGTTAGGTGCCATCAAATCGGTACTGACTCATAGCAATCCTGTGCACACCAGAAAGAAACACTGCATGGTCTTACGCCAGCCCCATAATCGTTGCTACATTTGAGCCCATCATTGCTGCCACTGTGCCAATCCATCTCATTGGGGCTCTTCCTCTTTTTCTCCAACCCTCCATTTTACCAAACATGATATCCTTCTCCAGAGACTGACCCCTCCTGACAATGTGTCTGAAGTATGAGAGGCGAAGCTGGCCATCGTGGCTTCCAGGGAACATTCTGGCTGTACTTCTTCCGACTCAGATTGGTTTGTTCTTTTGGCAGATGTACTTTTAATAGTGCGTATTAGTATATGAGAAAGATGTACATAAACTGAAAAAGCAAGTACTATTTTTATTTCACATTTAAGTAGCTACAATTACTAATAGAATGTGTGCTTCTGTTGAGAACTATACAACTGCACCGTAGAATCCAATTAGACATCGCCACCCTTGTTTCCTTTTCCTCAGTAATGTTTATATGGTTTGTATGTTACTCCGTCCTGTGCCATCTTTACAACATCTAAAACACAGCTTCCCAAGATGGGATACCATTAAAAGGAATGAAGAATGATCTAATGTTAAAATTGTGGATTACTTTGAGCCAGTAGTTTGTTTGTGTCTGATTGATGTAGTGGTAGTGGTGGTTATGTGCCGTGGAGTCGGTTCTGACAGGGTTTCCAAGGATGTAAATCTTTACAGGAGCAGAAAGCCTCATCTTTCTCCGTCGAAACAGCTGGTAGTTTTGAACTGCTGACCTTGCAGTTCTCAGCCCGATTCGTAACCACTACGCTACCAGAGCTTCTTCAATTGATGTAGAGTATCTAGTATCTCTGTTATAAAAATATAAAATATCCCACTATGCCCTATGTGTGGCAATGTAGGAAAACCCCTGGACTACTAATCGCAAGGTTGGCCGTTCAGACCTACCAGAAACCCATTATTCACAGCATTGCTGTGAGTCAGAACTGACTCAACAGTACTTAACAACAAATGCCGTAGGAGTTTGCTGCACCACTGTTCTGAGTTTCAGTATGTCACATTTCCCTGGTCCTTCCATCTCTCGGGGGATCTAAAGAATGAGTCCCTTTTATTGAGTCATTGCTTTTGTCACACACGAACACTAAGCCTTCACTCAGAAGCTTTTTATTGCAAAGCGAAAGTCCACTTCAGAGAGAGACAGCAGGTCTGTCTGCGAGTGGAGACGACCTGGTAGAATTGGGGAGCATAGATGAAGTCAAAGCGCAAGTCCACTTCAGAGAGAGAAGCGGGCCTGCCTGCGAGTGGAGAAGACCCTGTGGGATTGGGGTGTACTAGTTTATAAGGGTATGGGGTCTCCTCTTCTATGAGTGGGCTAATATATATTGATTGTTGTTGTTGTTAAGTGCCGTCAAGTCAGTTCCGACCCATAGCGACCCTATACCGGGTTTCCGAGTGTGTCAATCTTTACGGGAGTAGAAAGCCTCATCTTTCTCCCACGGAGCGGCTGGTAGTTTCAAACTGCTGACCTTGAGGTTCGCAGCCCAATTTGTAGAAGGAGTGATATGTTGACTGTTCATTTGATTTTTAGTAAAGGGGTGCAGGCTTCTTGGAAATGGAATGCCTTCTGCAGTTGGCGGCTCTAGGGACTGTCTTCATGGGCTGTCTGCCAAGCTCTTCTTCCCTGAGACCAGCTGTTTCTCTGTTATCAGAGGTTCAAATCCTGATATCCTTATCTCTGTCTCCAGGCTGTTCCTCTCAAAGTCACCTTTCTTGTAGGCCTAGAGATGGACTCCCCTTTTCTTGATCCCTGCCTAGTAGGAGACAACCAGGGCAAAGGGACGGACATGAAGCCAGGGTAACAGGGTACTTGTCCCTGACAAGTCCACTCCTTCATGGTTAGATGAGTTAATTCATGTGCACGTAAACCTTGGTTCTTTTGAAAAACAAATCCACTGTCACCCTGAGTCGATTCCTATTTACAGGACAGAATAGAACTGCCTCATGGGATTTCCAGGCTGTAAATCATTGCAAAGAGCAGACTCCCATATCTAGCTACCCCACAGAGGCTGGTGGGTTCAAACTCACGTAGCAGCTGGGTTCTTTAGGGCCCCTTTGGAAAAACCCCTCGGAAGATTTCCCCCCTTACCCTGAGGAAATACCTTTGCCTTACTTTTCTATCTCAGAGGATTTGTTACTTTTGTCCAGGCTCAGCAGTTCCTGGGTTAGCTGGAAACAATTTGAGATTGTTTGCTTGGCTCAAGGCAACAGCCTCAAATGGTCTATTTAACACATGCACCTAGAGGGAGTGGTCAATATACATACACAAATGGCATGTCTGTGGCCTTCTAACAGGGATTTGGTCACTTGGTGAATCTCGTGGAAGGATCATACCCTGAAATGGACTCACAGTTTGCTTACACTGGTGTATGCAGTCTGTCACACAGACTCAGTGGACAGAGCAGGAGGAAGGAAGAAGGATGAAAAGGCAGAGAGAAGGCAGAGAACCTCCTCCAAGAGCTATAAATCAGGTCCAGGACTGAAGATGGAAGCGGCCTAGAAGGGGCCCTGTGGCAGAGCCAGTGGTGAGAGTACCAGCGGTTCTTGACCACATGCTGCCTCCTGAAATGACTGAAGGTGCTGTCTCTAGATTCTAGTCCCTGAGTACCAGGTACTAGGGAACACATGTTTCAAAGTGTAGTTTTAGTTGTTGTTGTTGTTGTTGTCAGGGATGGAGAAAACAAATTCCATATGTTTATAATCAGTATGTATATTATTTACGAAGTCCTGGTGTGGCGCTTTGGGTTAAAGTATTGGATTGCAAGTTCAGTTTGAACAGCAAGGTCAGCGGTTCAAGCCCAACAGCTGCTCCCGGGAAACTCTACACAGGGTCTATTAAGTCAGAACTGACTCAGCAGCACTTAACAACAACATATGGTTTTGGAGGCTGCAAATCTTTATGCTCCCACCAAGTGGCTGCTGAGTTCAGCAGCCTCCATTAACATCCAGCACTTAACCTCCTGTCCTGCCTTATATAGCAGGTGAGTGCCTTCACCCTGCAGCCGATTTTGTTTTTTTTAACTTGCTCTTTAGTGCTGTCCTGTCATCTAATAGCTGCCTCCTAAGAAGTTCTGGTAGCATTGTGGTTATATGAGTCAGATTACCTCAAGGTCAGCAGCTTGAAACTACCAGCTGTGCCAAGGGAGAAAGATGAGACTCTCTGCTCCTGTAAAGATTTATAGTCTCAGAAACCCTGTACAGGGTCGCTGTGAGCACGGCACATAATCCCCACAACCACATGTAACTGCCTCCTACAAAGTCGTCTTTTTAACTCATTGTGTGTAACCAAATATATTTGAATCAGCTAAGTAGAGTTAGTAAGGTGATAAGGGAGAATCTACTTTATAGATTTCTCAGCATTGTTTTGCTATGTGTTCTTAAATCCAATTAACCATTGATAATACAATGGCTGTTAGACATTTAATTTCCTTCCCTGGTTTATACCCTAAAGGAAGTTCAGTAAATGATGCTTCTGGAAAACAATTAAGCAATTTTCTTTCCTCTTTTTGTAACCTGTCGCTTTAAACATTCGTTAATTGAAAAAATGTTCACACATACACAAACATCTGACTAGATCTGTGAACCTCCCTGTATTTAGATAATCTCCTTTTGTTTATACCAACCGTTCTAGAATTTAGTCTCCAGACTAGCAGCATCTACCCACTGCCATTGAGTCGATTCCAACTCCAAGATGTACTGAATCTTAAACTCTGATGGTGGGGCCCAGTCAGTGTCTTAACAAAATGATTCTAATGTCTATCACAGCTTGAGAACCTCTGACTGATGCTATTCCATCTCACATCTGCTGAAAGATTTTAAAACACGTTGTATCATTTTTACTTGTAAATACTTTAGTACTTAAGCTGTTTTCTTTTAAAAATAATGTGTCACAAATTGACAGACTGTTTAGAGAACAGTCTGCCGATTTGTACAATATTTAAATTTGATCTCATAATTCTAGTCCTAGTAATCTACTTAAAAGATAAAGCTATACAGGTGCTGCATGATGTGTATACAAGGACGCACACTACTCTATGGAGGAAACTTGGAAATACTACATGTCTGTTAGTGGTGGTAGTTGGCAGGGGGGCGCATTGGTTAAATAGGTTCTGTTTTATATATGCTGTGAAATACTATAAAATCATTTCAGAAAATGATATTCCTAATGCCTATTGTTAGTAGGAAAAGCAGTTTTCAAAATTGAGTGGTCCCATTTTCTTTTCTCTAACACATATGTGTTGAGACAACAGTAAAAGAGGGAGCAAGACAGAAATCGGGATTAAAAAGAAGGAAAGTGTCAATGTGTGTGCCCTACTCATATGTACAGAGGAAACAGCTGGAATGTTATATACCTAAATGCTGACAGTCGTCTTTGGGAGGTATTCTAAATTGTGCATTTCTTTTTATAATGGAAAAAAGAATAAAGTTACTTTAATTTTTAAAAATGCAGTATCCACTGAAGCTGTGCCCTCTCCTTGCATTTACAGATGGGCATATGTTGGATTCAAAGAGATATGCCATTATAGGGGCAGATCTGCGAGATTTACCTGACATGGAAGAGAAACTAAAACGATGCCACATGAATACACAGTGAGTCTGTTCGTTAGTTTGTTTTTAACCTATGCAGTTATAATTTTGTGCTGGTAAGAAAGAGATGAGGGAAATGGGACTAGAAGTGCGTGCAGCATGATCCCCGGACCTCATCTCCTACTCTGCAATGTTTATCTTCTTGTTGCTACTTAGAGGATTTTTCTGAATTTTTTTTTTTGAACAATGTTCCTCAAATCTGTTCTCATCTGTGTTACTCTTTTTAAAATGTCGAGGCCTAGATTTGTAAATAACTCACATGATAAATGTAGAAAAGATTGAAGTTGTCAACGACTTCATTTTGCTTGAATCCACTATCAGCACTATGGAAGCAGCAATTAGGAAATCAAATTATGTATCACATTAGGAAAATCTGCTACAAAAAACTCTTTAAAGTCTTAAAGAGCAAAGATAATCAGTTTGAGGATTAAAGTATGATTTACCCAAGCCATGATATTTTCAGCTGCCTCATATACATATGAAAGTTGGACAGCGAATAAGAAAAAGTGTAGAATAATTGATGCATTTGAATTGTGTTGTTTGCAAAGAATATTAAAAGTACCATGGATTGCCGGAAGAATAAACAAATCTATCTTGGAAGAAGTGCAGTCAGAATGTTTCTTAGAAGCCTGGATGGCACGACTTCATCTCTCATACTTTTGACATGTTATTTGAAGAGACCAGTCCCTGGAGAAGGACATCATGCTTGGTAAAAGTGGAGGCTGGTGAAAAAGAGGAAGACCCCCAACAAGATGAATTAACACAATGGCAGCAACAATGGACTCCAACACAACGATGAGCTCAAAAGTAACAAGTGTGAGGGTGGCCCAGGACCAGGCAGTATTCATTCTGTTATGCATAGGGTCCCTATGAGTTGGATCCAACTCAATAGCGTCTAACAGCAGCAATTTTGCCAGCCAAGTTTAAGAGAAGATAGCTAGTATATAATTGCAGTATCTAAAGAAGAATTGTTGTTGTCTGTATGTGCCTTCCTGTCGGTTCCAACTCACAGCGAGCCTGTATAGAGTTTCCGAGGAGCACATAGTATGTTTTGAGCTACTATCCTTGTGGTTTGCAGCCCAGTGCTGACCCTACAGTGCTATACCAGGAGTCCAAAGAAAGAATGAACGCCAGCAATATATAAAGAGCACTTGCTATTGTTATCGAAATCTCATGGGGACATTGGCGAAGAATTTATGACCAGGTTACTTTGAGCAGAAGTCTTAATATTAAATAGAAAGGTATTTAACTTCAGTAGTTATCAGAAGAAATTCTATTTATTTCTACCAAGCTGACAAAAATTTTAAAGTTAGACAATATCAGCTTTAGTCAAGGATATGGTCATACAACAGTGATGGAAGTAAACTTAATACAACCATTGTAAGTAAGAATCTGAAGCTACCTAGTAAAATTGTAAATGTCTGTGCCATATTATAAAGCAGTTGCACTTTGGGGAGTGTCCCCAGCACATCTTGAATGTGTGCACAAGGAGAATGTTCATTGTAGTCCCTGTTTGGAGTAGCAGAAAATGAGAAGCAACCTATTGCTCTTCAGGAGGAAAAGCGATGTAAAATAACTGACCTAGGTTACCTGGAGACAGCTAGAAAACCAAATGTTGAGTGAAAGAAAAAAAAAATTTTTAATTGACTTTGTAGAATAATATGCACTGTATGATAACCAAAAGTGTAAATTCAGACCCCCCTGCTATTATATTTTCATGATTACTTTCATCACAAAAGTATTTTTAGAGTGGCTGCCAGAGTGGAGTAAGATGTGGTTTTAGTGTGATGCTGCTGACCAAATCATACTTGAGTTAAGGACTTAGCGAGTGATAGAAATATGTAGGTGAAGATGATAATATCAAGAATATGTGTGGTGAGTAAACTCAAAGGTAGTTGAAGCAAAGTAGAATAGAGAAAATATTATTTTAAAGAAAAAATGAAGGCAAAGAATCAATGACAAAAAAGTTAAGGAAATTAGCAAGTAAGGTAATCTGTTCCAACAGGGCCCAGAGGCAGGTAAGATAAGATGAACCAGAAAAAGATCGGACAAGGATCAGTAAATGACCTAGAAATAAGCCTGCAAAGTAGAATCCTAGTCAGGAGAAGAGGGTTCTCCCGTTTCACCAGTCTTGACAGCACTGACCTGGTCCCAGATTACTCAGCATGGGAGAAGCTAAGGAAAATTGCTCCCACCCCCTCAGAATTTTTGAGACAGATGAAGAATAGTCCAATCAAGCCAAAAAATCAAGCTGCATTCATGTGCCTTGCAAAGTCTAGGTGATCTTAGTATTTTTGTTAAAAATTATGGCTTTTAGATATTTCTGTAGGAATTTTTTTTGCTATTCTTATGATTGTTTTGTTGATTATTTTGGATCTGATAATTCAGATTGAATACTGACTAATATTTACTGAAAACTATAAGTATTGCTTATAATTTCAATAGTGAAAACTTAAATAAGAAAAAATAGGTTCTGGTAAATGAGTATTAGTATTTCCAAACAGTTTGAGTCAGCTTTTGATGTATAACAAACCACTCCAAACTTCGTGTTAAGTGGTTTCCAGATGGTTCCTACTGCTAGTGACCGTATGCGCAACAGAACGAGATACTGCCAGGTTTGGCACCTTTCTCACCGTTGTATTTCAGGTAATGTTGAGCCTATTACCACTGCCACTGTGTCAATTCATATCATTGAGGGTCAGCGGAATGCTGACCCTCCACTTCACAAAGCGTGATGTCCTTCTCCAGGGTCTGATCCCTCCTGATATTTTGTCTGAAGTGTGAAACAACACCATAACTCAAATGCATCATATCTTGTACAGTCTCCAGAGACTGGTCCTTCTTGACAACATGTCCAAAGTACAAATAATGAAGTCTTGCCATCCTTGTTGCTAAGTAACGGATGTCCTGTCTGTATGTTTTCTAGGACACATTTGTTTGTTCTCCTGTCATAATTTAAATGCATCAATTCTTCTACAGACTTCCTTATTCATTGTGCAACTTCAACGTGCACATGAAGCTATTGAAAATACCATGGCTTGGGTCAGGCGTACCTTAGTCCTGGAAGTGACATCTTTGCTCTTGAACACTATAAAGAGGCCTTTTCCAGCAGATCTGCCTAATGCAATACGTTGTTCGATTTCTTGACTACTGCTTCTGTGAGTGTTGATTATGGAATCAAGCAAAATGAAGTCTTTGAAACTTCAATCTTTTCTCCAATTACCATGATATTATTGGTATAGTTATGAGGACAAATCCAAACTTAGTGGTTTTAAACAACACAATTCAGATGCTCAGAATTCTGTGAATTGAATATTTCTGCTGAGTTTAGCTGGGTGGATCTGCTGCTAGGAGCTAGGTTCAGCTGATGTTGGCTACAGCTCATTCATGTGTACAGTGTGTACAATGGGAACTGAGTGATTGTATCCTAGGAAGCTCATTTTCATTTATATAACCTCTCATCCTATAATGAGACAGTTTGAGCTCCTTCACATAGTGGTCTCAGTATTCCAATGCAGCCAGGGTGAAAGTGCTTTTCATGCCTCTGCTTGACCCATATTTGCTACTGTCCCATTACCCAAAGCAAGTCACAGGACTAACCCTGATTCCAGGGTAGAGAAATACAAGCTAACTGCTGAATGGGTAGGACCTGCAGTATCAGATTATCAAACTATGAATGCAGTGTAGGGGAGAATTTGTAGCTCCCTTAACAATCTGTCTCACACGTACAGTGTTTTCATAAGCCAGACAAACCATCACCTGTTCTTGTTGTTGGATGTAGTCAAATCTGTCCTGACTCCTAGAGACAACGTAACAAAACACCATGTGGTTCATGATCGTTGTTAAGCTGGAGCCATTACTGTTGCTACTGTGCCGATCCATGTCGTTAGAGCAGCTTCCTCTTTCTCACGGACTCGCCACTTTATCCAGCACGTTGCCCTTCTACAGGACTGTTTCACACTCCAACGTGTGAGACAACACCATACTTCAAGTGCATCAGGCCTTCTATGGCCTTCCTTATTCACTGTCCACTTTAACATGCATACAAAGCTGTTGAAAATACCGTGGCTTCGGTCAAGCACACTTCAGTCCTCAAACTGACATCTTTGATATCGAATGCCCTAAAGAGGCTTTGTGCAGCAGATTTGTGTAATGCAATACATCCTTTGATTTCTTGACTGCTGCTTCCATGACTGTTGATAGTGAATCCAAACAAAATGAAGGCTTTTAAAACATCACTTTTTCTCCATTAGTCATGATGTTATTTATTGGCCAGTCACGACGGATTGTGTTTTCTTTACATTGAGGTGCAACCTGTACCAAAGACTGTGGTCTTTGATCCTCACTGGTAACTATAGTAAGTCCTCTTTGCTTTCAACAAGCAAGTTTGCATCAGATGCGTATCACAGGTTGTTAAGAAGTCTTTTTCCAAATATGATGCCACATTCTTTATATAATCCGGCTGCTTGGACTATTTGCTCAGCATTTAAACTGAATAAATACGATGAAAGAATACAACCATGGTGCACACTTTTCCTTAATTTTTAAAACATTCAGTGTCCCCTGATTCTCTTTAAACAGTTGCCTCTTGAAGTATGTGCAGGTGTGTCATGAGCACAATGAAGTGTTCTGGAATACTCATTCATTCTATGCAGTATTGTTTATAGCTTGTCATGATCTCGCCAGCACTTAACAACAACAGCAAACATCTTTCTTGTATTCTCTGCTTTCAGCCAAGCTCCATCTAATCTCAGCACTGATATCCCTTGTTCTGTGCCCTTGTATGACTCCATTTTGAACCTCTGGCAGTTTCCTGTCACTATACAGTTACAGCCTACAGCCATCTTTAAATTATCTTTAGCAAAATTGTACTTGCATGTGATATTAATATTTTTATTTGATACCTGCATTCTTCTGGATCTCCTCTCTTTGCAGTGGGCACAAATATGGATCTTTTCCAATCAATTGGCCAGGTAGCTATTTTACATATTTCTTAGCATAGATGAGTGAATGCCTCCAATGCTGTATCAGTTTATTGAAATATTCATTTGTATGCTATCAATTCCCAGAGTCTTGATGTATGCCAATGCCTTAAGTGCACCATGGACTTCTTCCTTCAATAACACTGGCTCTTGATCATATGCTGTCTCTTGAAATGGGTGAACATTGTTCATTTCCTTTTGGTACAGTGACTCTATGTATTCCTTCCATCTTCTTTTGATGCTTTCTGCATTGTTCAATATTTTACTCATAGAATTCTTCAGTACAGCAAATCGAGGCTTGAATATTTTCTTCAGTTCTTTCCACTTGAGAAGTGCTGAGCATTCTTCCCTATGGATTTTCCTCATTGTCGGTCTTTGCACAGTGCCATTATCCATTTGCTTTTGCATCTCTACACTGGAGAGCAAGTTTCAGAATCTTCTTCTGACATCCATTTTTGTCTTTCCTTTCTTTCTTGTCTTCTTAATGACTGTTTGCTTTCTTCTTATATGATGTTCTTGATGTCATCCCATAGCTCTTCTGGTCTTTGGTCATTAGTGTCTAATGCATTAAATCTATTCTTGAGATGATATCTAAATTCAGATTGGATATTTTCAAGGTCAAATTTTGTCTTGCATGGACTTGTTTTAATTTTCTTTAGCTCCAGCCTGAACTTTCCTATGAGCAATTGATGCACTGTTCCCAAGTCCACCTCTGGTCTTGTTTTGACTGTTGATATGGAGATTTTCTACCATCTCTTTCCACAAATATAATCAGTTTGACTTCTCTGTATTCCATCTGGTGAGGTCCATGTGTATAGTCATCCTTTTATGTTGTTTAAAAAAATCATTTGCAAAGAATAAGTCATTGGTCTCAAAAATTTATCATGTGATCTCCATCATTTCCTTCACCAAGACTGTATTTTTCAACTGATTCTTCTTTTTTTCCAGTTCTGCATTCCAATCACCAGAAATTATCAATATATCTCAATAGCTTGTTTGATCAATTTCAGACTGAAGAAGTTGGTAAAAATCTTCAATTTCATCATCACTGTCTTTATTGTTTGATGTGTACATTTGAATAATAGGGATATTAATTGGTCTTCCTTGTAGGCATATGGATATTATCCTATCACAGACAGCATTGTATTTCATGATAGATCTTGATATGTTCTTTTTGATAATGAATGTGATGCCGTTCCTCTGGAGTGTGTCATTCCCTGTAGAATAAACCATGTGATTGTCAGATTCAAAATGGCCGATACTCACTAATGCCTAGGGTATCGATCTTTATGAGTTCCATATCATTGTTTACAATTTCCAGTTTTCCTCGGTCGTACTTCATATATTCCATGCTCCAGTTGTTAATGGATTGTTTACAGCTGTTTCTTTTCATTTTGAGTTGTGCCCCATCAGCAAATGAAGGTCATAAAAGCTTTACTCCATTCATGTCTTCACACTTAACACTACTTTGAGTAGGCAGCTTCTCCCCCGTCGTATTTTGAGTGCCTTCCAACCTCCCCAGTCGTATTTTGAGTGCCTTCTTCTGGCCCTATATCTGATGATATTCTGGTGCTATTTATAATTTTAAGTATTTAATATTCTGCTACTATCTGACAGTGTTCCACTGCTTGTCATAAGGTTTTCAGTGGCTAAACATTCAGAAGTAGTCTCCTTCCTAGTGTGCCTTGGTCTAGAAACTCAGCTGAAACCTGTCTACCATGTGTGTACTCTCCTGGTATTTAAACACCAGTGCTGTATCTTACAGCATCACAGCAAATCGTAAACCACCACAGTATGGCAAACTGACAGATGTAGAGTAGAATCATTGTTCATCACTCACTTTAGATATAAAAATTGTTATTGTTGTTAAGTGCCGTTGAGTCGATTCCAACCCATAGCGACCCTGTATAGGGTTTCCGAAGAGCAGCTGGTGAGCTTGAACTGCTGACCTTGCAGTTCAAATGGCTTTGCAGTCTGGCAAACACCATAGCACCACACCAGGGCTCCAGATATAAAAATAGTGTCATGATATTACATGAGTGTTACTGCATTGAGGGATGATGTGCTTGTTCAAGCCCTCTCGTTGTCCTGGCATGTGAGCTACCCTACCAGTACTGCAGCATCTGTACCATTAGAGGGTCTTGATTTGATGATAACAAATCTTTGTGCCTTTTTTTCTCCTCATCAGATTGCCAACACTCATCATAACTGAATGTGTGCTGATTTACATGACTCCAGAGCAGTCTGCAAACCTCCTGAAGTGGGCAGCCAGCAGTTTTGAGACTGCCATGTTCATCAACTATGAGCAGGTAAAAGGAAGCACAGGTAGTTTGAATTCTGCCTAAGGCTCCGGTGGTTGTTGTCCCTGTCTGTAGTCCCGCAGTCATCTGGTCCCTCTGCCTGTCAGCATTCTCTTTTATTAATCAAGTCCAGCAATCTTGGTACTCCTCGTTTCTTCGCTCCCTGTAAACATTTGCCTAAGCCTGTCTAAAAGATTTTTAACCCTTATTTCAGCATTGCATTGACCATAAAGATATAAAGCTTTATGGAAGGGATTTGGGATATCACCTAGTATAAATCAAAGAAACAGAAGCTAGTTGTCATGGTGTTGACTCTGACTCATGGCAGTCCCATGTGTGTTAGAGCAGAACTGTGCTCCCAAGGTTGTCAGTAAGTGTGGCTTTTTGGAAGCCGATTGTAAGGCCTCTTTTCCAAGGCATCCCTGGGGAGGCTTGAACTGCCAGCCTTTTGGTTAGTAACTGAACACTCACCTATTTGTGCCACCTCATCTGTTGTAGATCTGACAAAAGGAAATTGCAAGTAGAGGAATTTGGCCAGATGGAATTAGTATAGAGTGGTGGGGACTTTGGTACAAAGGAATTTTTCCCATTTCATGGCTGTGGCCACTAATGATCCTAGAACTGCCAAAATTGCCAGTTTTTAAAGGTAAGTTAGAAAGCAGACTGTTCATGTAAGAGTTCCTTATTTTTAAAAATGACCGAGCTTGGTCCATGGACTGCCTTTTTGCCTCTTCTGATTTAGTGTAAAAAGGTTTGTGTTTTATGTCATTGGAATTATCTGGCTTGTATCTGAATTGTTGTTGTTGTTGTTAAGTGCCATCGAGTCGGTTCCGACCCATAGCGACCCTGTACTCCAGCAATTATCATTGGCTATGGGACTCCACGGCACATAACAACAACAACAACAATGGGACCTTATTAGGCGGACTTACTCAGTGGTGTGCTCTGGATGTAGACTGCCTGGTTGTGTGATCTGGACAAGATACTACCCTCTCTGCGCCTGCAATAGTTACTACTTCATAAGATTGTTGTAAGGAATAGGTGAATTAACATATGCAAATTTTCTGATAGCAGTGCCCAGCTGTTAAGTGTTAACTATGCTTCCTTAACCTCTCAACCTAAACTGGAATTTGTGAGATGTTGGACAGCGCTAAGGACATAATACACACTGAACACATCATAGCTATTTTTATTTATTTCATTAGTTTTATTGATATGATTTTACTTTTTTAATTAAAGGTAAAACAGTAAAGGGATTTGTTTTTGTGTAATTACATGTCAAGATCAGCTAGGCCTGATCTTGGTCTCATGATCTCCCCACCTGCTTCCCTGCATCCCGATTGGTACAGTTTTATTTCTCTATGTATAACTGGGAGTGTTCCTTAGACTCAGTCTAAAGTCCAGGTGAGTGGATATGACAGAGGCTGATCACTTTGGTCTTTTCTTTTGATGTGAAGCAATCATGGAAACCTATTTTACTTTGCAGAATACCACACCTGGAAAAAATGATTTCAACTTTCCATGTTTCAGCAAATCTCAGCCGTGTAGGGCTTCACTCACTTTGTTTCACTTGTATTCTTGTATTCAGAAATCATTTATTCAACATTTTATGAGAGAAAGTGGATTAAGGGATTTTTAATTGTAGCCCTTCTCAGTCTGGCGCAGGCCTGGGGATACGACTGTTTTCAATGTATTATCTACTCCCGTCCCTAACAAGACTCAACACCACCATCACTTTGTGAATAACCAACATTTAGCTTCACAATTGTTTAACAAATACACAATCATTACTATCTTTACATGTGTATTAATTCCTTGCATGCCTTACATTATTTCCAAATTAGTAATTTTAAATATAAAGCTACGTGAATGGTGACAATTTTAACAATGATGATAAAGTACTGACAGGAAATTTTTCAACTTGCTTACTGTATAATCATAGAATAGGCACTGTTCTATGATTTTTAGGTATATGACATTATTTAATTATTACGACAGTCTAAGAAGTAGATGCCAGTATGATCTGATTGTACAGTTACAGAAACGGGAGCACAGGGCCATTAATTAAGTACTTGGTTCATGCTCTCACAGCTGCTAAATGTTACAGCATCTTTATGTACACACACGAGTACATCTGTCAAAGAAATTGCTGTCATTGGATGGTTGGATCACAAGCTGAGTATTTAAAAGGCCTATACTGTCCAATTGCCCTTTCAGGGGCTACTCTAATTTCGGCTCCCACCAGCACTGTGTATGAGTGCTTGCTCGTCATTGCTTTCCTACACTGTTGTTGTTGTTGTTGTTGTTATTAAGTGCTGTTGAGTCTGTTTCAAATCATAGTGACCCTATATAGGATTTCCAAGTAACGGCTGGTGAGTATGAACTGAAAATCTTATGGTTCAAACCTACCTCATGGTCCAGCTCACAGTTCTACAGTGCTACACCAGGACCTGCACTAAGTATTATCAAATGTCAGCCTTAAATGGTTAAAAATAGGATGTTTTATTTTGCACACTTATGTAACTAACAAACCAACCAAAAAAGCCTTACAGGAACACCTGGACCCCTCTTCCCTCCAGGTGAACATGGATGATCGCTTCGGGCAAATTATGGTTGAAAACCTTCGGAGACGACAGTGCGACTTGGCTGGAGTGGAAATGTGCAAATCGTTAGATTCACAGGTTAGAAAGCGAAGACTGGGAATGTTCTTGTACCTTTAGTCAAACGAAGGACATTTGCCCTTCATAGATAAGGTAATGGGAGAAATTCTCTTAAGTACGTGCCTAAAGAGGCATTCGGAGGCTCTGGTGGTGCTATAGGATAAACACTGGACTGCTAACCACAAGACTGGGCGTTAAAACCCACCAGGGGCTGCATGGGAGAAAGATGAGGCTTTTTGCTCTATAGAGATACACAGCCTCAGAAACCCTAGGCAGGGTCTCTGTGAGTTACAGTCCTCTCAGTGACATCTCACAACAGCAGCGGTATTAAGGACTTTTGTCAGTCACTAGTTCTTGGTGGTGGTGGTGGTAGTTGTGTGCTTAGGAGTCAGTTTTGACTCATAGCAATCCTGTGTAGGGTTTCTGAAGCTATAAATCTGTATGGAAGCAAAACGTCTCATCTTTTTCCAATGAAGTGCTGCTGGGTTTGAATTGCTGACCCTTTGGGTAGAAGCCCAATATGTAACCCACTACTCTACCAGGACTCCTAGGAAAATCTAAACCCTCCATTACCATATAGATACGAAAAACACAAGTTTGCATTTCTGTACATTATTATTTTAACTTTTTTGTTTGGAAATTTCCTTTCATTTAAAACGTAGAGAACTCCTTCAGAAATAATGTTTTGATGTTGTTGGAATAGTTTAAAGCCAATCCCAGGCAATACATCAAAGTCCAGTAAGTGCTCTCTTTTCCTCAGGATACTGATGATGAATCAGACCTTACAAATTCACCCTACCCACTCAGTAGCACCTGATACCCAGTCTCTATTCAGTTTTCCCAACTGCTTTGTAAAAAATATTTTTATGATTGGTGTTTGAATCAGGATCCAAACATGTTCCACACTATATTTGATTGATATGTCCTTTAAATCTCTTTTCATATGTAATGGATCCCTTCCGTTTTAAATGCCTTTTATTTACTGAAGAGAGACTTCCCCCATTTCGTTTTTGCAAATCTTATGTCACATTATTACTGAAACACTTTTTTGAAAATTGGTACTCTCAGAAAAGTGTCTCATTTTTCTTTAAATATATTTTAGTGCCGGATACTGATGTGGCGCTGTAAGATAATTACTGGACTGCAAAGTCAGTGGTTCATATCCACAGCTGCTCCTCAGAAACCCTATACAGGTTTGCTATGAGTCAGAACTGACTAAACAGCATTTAACAAGCACAGCTTTTGTGGGTTTTAGCATTGCATGTGTAATATAGAAATTGGGGAGGGAAAGAGAAGAGATTGCAGCGGCCAGAACGAGTCTTAAAAGAGGAGTCATCTGAATGAAGTTTTCATGTGCTTTAATGTTGTCTTGGATTTGTCTGACACTGCTTTCTGGTTCTTCTCTACTGCACTGTCCAGAAAGAACGGCTCCTGTCAAGCGGATGGGAAACAGCCTCCGCAGTTGACATGATGGAATTGTACAGCAGGTTACCGCGGTCAGAAGTGAGCAGGTAGGAGACTAGCAAGCATTAACTCTAGGACAATGGCTTGAGAATTCATTACATGATTGTCTGTATCCTTTAATGCTAAAAAGAAACAAAAACCCTAACTGGATTTATTTTGAAACAGGTTAAGTGCTAAGATAGATTAAACATTAGTAGAAATTTCAGAAAAAACTTATTAGATAGATAGAATTTATGCACAAATAGATTATTTTAGTCAAAATACGCAGATATAACAGAAACGTTCCCAGAGAAACCTCTGCCATGGAAATTTTGTACAGTCTTTGTATTTTGGAAAAGGAAAATAACATTGCTCAAGAGCCTCTAAGTGGGAAAAAAAGTCTCTGGGCAAATTGTTTTAATGGATTTGCTTCCATATGATAAAATAAATATTTTCACTGTTCTTAAAAATATTTCAAGCAATCTAAAAGTTCATGAAGCATAAAAGGAGTTTTACTCTCTTTAGTCACATCTTCTGCAGGTAAATTGGTATACATTCTTCTTATTTTGCATATATAAAGATAAATTTTGGTAAGATATTGATATCTATTTTTTGCTTCAGTGGATTCACACTAATTGGTTTGAAAACTGCCCCTTCGTGTTAATTTTAAATTAACAATAGATATCTTTCTATATCTCAGTTAGAAAACCCTGTTTATTGGTACACTGCATTGGTATGTAGCTATATTATCTTAAAATAATAACTTTTAAATCATTTAGTTATCCAGAGACAAAAAAGTGGAAAGGAAAACTACCAACTAGGAGATTATCTTCCTAAACCATTTCCTCAATATAGTTTAATAACCAGCTGTTACTGTTAGGTGCTATCAAGTGGATGCCGACTCACTGCAACCCAGTGCTCAGCGGAGTGAAACACTGACGTGTTTTACTGAATCCAGCTTGGATTTTGGCAGTTTTCTGTTAATGCACTATTGCAGCTGTTTTTGAATTATTTTCAGAAACATTTTACTTCCATATAATATTAATGATGTTCAGTGATTTCCACATTCCAGTGAATTGTCTCTATTTGGAATGGGCTCAACTATGGATCTCTTCCAATCTATTGATCAGGTAGCTGTTTTCCTGGTTTCTTGGTGTAGTTGGGTGAGCACCTCCAATGCTGCATCAGTTTGTTGAAAGATTTCAGTTTGTATTCCATCAGTTCATGGAACCTTGTTTTTCACCATTGCTTTCAATGCATCTTGGACTTCTTCCTTCAGTAACATCAGTTCTTAATTGTATACTACCACTTGAAATGGTTGAGCATTTTCTTTCTTTCTTTTTTAAAGTTTTTATTGTGACTTGAGTGATAGATTACATGGTAGAACATTGGTTTTACACTCATCGTTTAATTGCAATGATTACAATCTCCTCCATGCATCATCATTCAACAGTATTTGCTTCTATTCCCTCTGTTTTTTTTGGCGGGGTGGGGTGGGAGGTGGGGAGGGATGTACCCCAAAACACTCAGCAATGTATAATCATTTAAATAACCAAAGGGCACATTGTGCAAGTCTGCTTCCTGGCCACCAGCATACAGCCTTTCTCTTTCCATGAGTCTAGAGTTCTCTGTTGCTCTATCTCACTATGTCATCATCTCTGCCTCCATTTCTGGTGTTGCTGCTTCTCTGGATAGGGTCCTACATTCTGCTCATGCTCTTCTCCTTTCTAGAGTCCTCTGGTCCTGGACTGGAAGATTAACTACTTCCCCCTTTTTGTTACAAAATTCTACCTTTACAGTTGTGACAGTTACAATTAGTCATGATAACAATTACTCAATATTGAATCATAAGAATCTTACTCCTATCTCCTTTCACCAGACCCGTGTAGACAAGATGAAAACTATTCAGTGAGGGTTCTAACTTCCCACACACACTCTGAAACAAAACTCCCTCTTGAAAACTTGTAAGCCAGTCACTTTGTGCAATTATAGCCTCCCATTTTAGTTAGCCAGTGTCTAAGTTGCCCATCCCTATCAACTCTGTATACAGAGGGGATAGGATTGATACTTGATATGAAGACTCCTTCCCTCTCAGATGGAATTTTGAGCTACTACATCCATAAGTATAGGTCAAGTTCATCAAATTGTAGCAATTTACACTTGTTTCCTTTATAAAAAAAAAATTTTTTTTTTTTAAATCTTCCTCTAGTCGAGTTCTGATTACCAAGCCATTGATGCTAGGTCAAATGGTTACTATCTACACGTTTAGGCATTCTTGTGTGCCTCCTCTCACTTCAAATCAGCTGGATGTTCGCTCTCAGCTTTGGCCTTCTGTGGCTATGTCCTTGTCCATGGGCTCAGAAGTCCCCAGATCTCACCACATTTCGAACTAGCCAGCCCTTCCTCTTCTCTCTGTCATCTCCACATCGACGGGAGTCTATGGAACATGGTCGGACTCAACCCATATCTTCATTGCTACCTTTCCCCTGTTCCACTCACTAGTAGATCAGTGTGGTCGCCAGCAAGCTTACATGCCTGCTCATGTGTTCCCTTTGAGTTTCAGTCTTGGAGGGGAGTTTGTCCTGAAGGGACTTGATTGCTTGCTTTGTTTTTGTAGTAGCCAGTCAGACTGCCATTTTTGTTTTGGATTTTTCCTGTTGGTCATTCTTTCAAGAAGTATCTTCTGTTCCTCTAGCTATTCCAGGCTGGTCTCCTTGTCCTTTCAAGTGAGAATGTCCCACCTCAGAAAACCATTTCTTTTTGGTACAGTGACTTTGTATACACCCTCCATCTTCTTTTGATGTTTTCTGCATCATTCAGTATTTTGCCCACAGAATCCTTCAGTATTGCAAGTCATGGTTTGAATTTTTTCTTCAGTTCTTTCACTTTGAGAAATGCTGAGTGTGCCACATCTTTTCACATGTCTTTATAATATTTTACCTTGTCTTCTCAAGCTGCCCTTAGAAATTTTCTGTACAACTCTTTACCATCCTCATTTCTTCCACTACTTTAGTATTTCTTTGCAGGATTGCAAATTTCAAGGTCTCTTCTGACATCTATTATGGTCTTTTATATATATATATATATATATATTGTTGTTATGTGCTGTTGAGAAGGTTCCAACTCTTAGCAACCCTGTATAAGGTTTCTGAGGAGCAGATGGTAAGTTCAAACCATCTACTTTACAGATGAAAGCAATCTTGTAGTTGAGCGCTTATCCTATAGTGCCACACCAGGACTCCTTTATTTATATATAGATATAAATTTCTGACTCATAACAACCCTGTATAGGGTTTCCAAGGAGTGGTTGATGGGTTTGAACCACTAACCTTGACGTTCAAACCAACCTTGCATTCTAATGCTTTATCTTGCAGCGCCACACCAGGTCTTTTTATATGCGAAGGTGAGTCAAAAATTATCCACACCCTGCTTATATTAAATCACCTGTCCATGTCCATGGCTGATGACAACATTGAGTGTGCATGTGAAATGATTCTTTCAGACAGACGAGTGACAGTGGATTATATGTGGCAAATCATTTGCAGATCATTGATGGCTCTGTCAATGAAATAGTCCATGACAGACTTGGGTTTTGAGAAGTGTGTTCCAGATGGGCACCAAAACAGCTTATGGAAGAGCAGTAAACAAACATTTGGACATCTGCCAACAGAATTTGGACCAATACTCAAAGGAAGATAAAAATAAAAGTTTCCTTTAAAATAAAGTCTTACTGGTGATAAGACATGGATTTATTTACTACAAGTCTAAGGGTCAATGGCCTAGTATGGAATGGAAACATCCTCAATTGCTGACCAAGAAAAAGTTCAAAAGTCAACCATCAGCTAAAAAGTTGATGTTTACAGTTTTCTGGGATTCTCAAGGGCCAGGATTGGAAAACTACCAGGAAAAAGGGTCACTAATAACAATGCTCATTACAGTGAGATGCTCAACGAAGAGCTGAAACCTAAACTTCAGATTCAATACACAGGACATCCAAGGGCATTGTGATCTTGTATGACAATGCATGTCCCATCGCACACCTCTGTCACATTCTTGACACTCTGCAGAAACTTCATTTTGAGGTGTTAAAGAATCCTTCCTGTAGTCCTGATCTTGCTCCTTTGGACTGCTGAAAGCAGCCCTTCGAAGACAAAGATTCACCTCTAATGAAGAAGTACAGATAGTGGTACATTCATGGCTTGCTAAAACATAAAAACAGTGTTGAATAGGGGATACAAAAACTTTTTGACCGATATACAAAGTTTATTGAAAAGCAAGGAGATCATGTCAAAAAATGATGTCTTTGTCTTTTAAAGTTGACTAAAATAAATTCTACAGCCAGAGTGTGGATAAAATTTGACTCATTCTCGTGTGTGTGTATGTGTGTGTATAATTAAATATATATAATTATATATGCTATAATTACAACATATATCATTATAAATATATCTAATAACTTATATAGAGAGACTGTTGTTGTTAAGTGTCATTGAGTTGGTTCTGACCCATAGCAACCCTGTTTAGGGTTTCCAAGGAGCAGTTGGTGAGTTGAACCTGCAGGTCAAACCAACTTTGCAATCCAACTTATTAGCCCACAGCAGCACACCAGGACTCCATATAGATAGATACAGGTCTATCTTAATAACCAATATGGTATCCTGGTGAGACACTGTAGTATAAGCACTGGACTACTAACCTCAAGGTTATCACTTCAAACTCACCAGTTGTTCCTTGGAAACCCTATACAGGGTCTCTGCGAGTCAGAACTGACTCAATGGCACATCAACAACAGCAATAACCAATATATTTATAAAATTTTGACAGCTTAGCAAAACCCAAAAAACAGATAGCCCAATTAAAAAATAGAAGAGAAGAATGCACATTTCACCAAAGAGGATATTCAGATGGCCAATAACACATGTAAAGATGCTCGGTGTCATTTATCATCAGAGAGGTGCAAGTCAAAACCACTATGAGTTATTTCAGTCTCACTAGGATGACTGCCACCACTCTTCTGTCCGTCTGTCATGCTGTGGTAACTTGTTTGTTGCTAAAATGCTAGAATTTT